GATTTGGGATCTCCTTTCCAAGGAACAATCTTTACAAGCAACCCACTGACTTGCAGAAATCCTTCTGGAATTGTTAGATTAGTTCCATCATTATTGGATCTTGAGTTGAAGTTCAAGTCATCACTTCACTGCAGATGAAAAATTTAAAGGGTAATTATTTGCATTATAGAGCATCTATATTAAAAAATAATTGCTGTAGAAATTCTAGATTTCTTAGTCTTTACATTAAAAAACAAAAACAAAAAAACACAACTTTCTGGCATTGCTGGATTGGAACCAGGACTTTATGCATGCTAATCAAGCACTTTACCACTGAGATATATCACCAACCCTTTTGTTTTTTGTTGTTTTTTTTTTTTTTGGGTCCGGTCGTGGGGCCTGAACTCTGGGCCTGGACGCTGTCCCCTCAGCTCTTCAGCTCAAGGTTAGCGCTGTACCACTTGAGCCACAGTGCCACTTCTGGCTTTTTTCTTATGTGGTGCTGAGGAATCGAACCCCGGGCCTCAGACATGCAAGGCAAGCGCTCTACCACTGAGCCACCTTCCCAGCCCTTTTTGTTGTTTTTTAACCATGGGATCTTACTGTGTAACTCAAGCTAGCCTCAAATCAATGATTCTCCAGAATCTACCTCTTGAATTCTGGATTAAAGATGTGCCCCACCATTCTCTGCTAAGATTACTTGGCTTTTAATTTATTGTAATCTCTGCAGCCTTTATATTTACATGACTGATACTAGTAGCTGTTATTTATTAAGTAATTTTCATGTGCACTGGCTAAACTCTTTTGCTGATTATCTCATTTTAATTTTTACAACAACTAGAAGGCATTCATATTCTCATGAGAAATTAAGAAAGTTTGAACCTAACTATATTTTTTTGTTTTTTTTAAGTATATATTTTTTATTGTAAAGATACCATACAGAGGGGTTACAGTTACATGAGTAAGGTAATGAGTTCATTTCCTATCTAGCGTTGTTACCTCCTCCTTTGTTTTCCCCCTACCACTATGATGTTTTATTTTTTCTTTCTTTCTTTTTTTTTTTTTTACTATAATAATGTTTTAAAATCTTACTTGGCTTCTTTTTCTTTTTTAAATTTAAAACCAACATAGATATGTTTCTCATAGTTGGTGACAGTGAATTTTATTCAATTTTTGTTGTTTTGAGATAGGTCCTCACCTTTTCAACTTAGACTGGCTTGGGACTTGCTTTGAAGCTGAAGTTGGCCTTAAATATACAATCTTTTTGCTTCATCCCTCTGAATGCTGGGATTATAGGCATGTGCCAAAAGACCCAGCTGGAAATTTTGTCAAATTAATAACTGATTATTAATGAGAATGTTCAGCCTCCTCCTGTCTATTACTACTCTAAATGATGTTTTGCCAGACTAATGGGAAATGCTTAAAATTCTTTGGAGGCTAGTATTATGCAGTTAAATATAGGAACTGAATAAAAATTATTAAAATAAAAAACAAGTGAATAAAAATAAATCTTATATTCTAACTTGTGAGACTATAGAATGTTTCATAATGTCTTACGAAATATAGACTGTACTATGTTGCTAGCTATTAAAACTATTAATGATACTATAATCCTTCTCTACTTATTCCTTTGAAAATGATGCAGTATTTTCCAGTCCCATTTATATTTCTTCCATAATGTATTTTCTCTTTGCTAAAGTTAGATTTAGAATTTTTTTGGGGGGGGTCTGGTTGTGGGGCCTGAACTCTGGGCCTGGACACTGTTCCTCAGCTCTTCAGCTCAAGGCTAGCACTCTACCACTTGAGCCACAGCGCCACTTCCAGCTTTTTTTTTCTTTTTGCTTATGTGGTGCTGAGGAATCGAACCCAGGGCCTTAGGCATGCAAGGCAAGCGCTCTGCCACTGAGCTACCTTCCTAGCCCAGATTTAGAATTACTATGCTAATTTCGTATGGACCATTAGATATGATGTCCTATGTTAACTCGTTAAAGAACTCACGTTTTTCATAACAAATGAATAATATTAAAGGAGTATATCAGTTAATTTTTAGAGTAAATGTACATTCAGAGGAAGCAGTCTTCAGTCTTTGTTCAACAAATGCAAGATAATGGCTCCTTTTGATATAGTCTAATATAGACTATGATTTATTTAGGTGAAAATGTAATTTTGGGGGGCATGCTTTACTGGAAAATGTACTAAACATTGTTTATAGTATTTGATGACTTATGTTTTAGTAAATTAGGTGACCAAACTTAATATGATGATGTTGACTTTAGTGCCTTTTGTACAACCTTTATGTGTGTGTGTGTGTTTGTGTGTTTGTGCTGGTTCTAAGGCTTGAACTCAGTGCTTGCTTGGGTATTGTCCCTCAGCTTTTTTGCTCAAGGCTGCCACCTGAGCCATAGCTCCACTTCTGGTTCTTTGGTGGTTAACTGGGGATAAGAGTCTAACAGATTTTCCTTCCTAGGCTGGCTTCAAACTGTGATCTTCAGATCTCAGTCTCCTAAGTAGCTAGGCTTATAGGTGTGGACCACTGGTACTTACTTTTTAAAAATAATTACTTTAATGTATTTTACTGGCTTATACCAACTACTTTTTGTACTTTTAATGCATAACTACCCATTCTGGTATTCCTTATGAGTAAAAGAAACCCAAACAAACAAGTGTCCATCTATATATTTAGGAGAAGTTAAGGTAGGATTGATTACGCCAGGTAGTATCTGATTTTTTTCTGCATAAATCATATGGAAAGTGGCAAAGTATAAAAAGTTTTACTTATACAATGATATTGTACTTGTAATTTATTATTAAAGTGACTGAATTATGAATCAGAAAATTTGTTGGCTCAGTAATTACAGCTGAAGCAGTTTGAAAAGACTTTGTATGAACTGCGGATATACTTGATTTCTAGCACCAGAAAAACAAAACAGAAAACAATAAAAAAACTGTGAAACAATATCATCTGAAATATTCAGTTTGTTAGCTATCAATGAACAGACATTTAATTCTCAAAACAATTTTATAAATTAAGAATAGTTATAAGTCGTTTAAATAAGGATACAGGTGGACCCGTTGCAACAATGAGAAGTACAAGTTGTCATGTTGAAAACGAACTTTACAACTTTGGTTGGGGGGGGGAGAGGATTGGGTGGGGGGCGGGGGAAGGATGGGAAGGGGAAACAAAGGAGGAGGCTACAATGCTTGATAAGAAATGTACTCATTATCTTGCCCATGTAATTGTAACCCCTCTTTGCAGTATTTTTACAATAAAAAATAAATAAAAATTAAAAAAAGAATAGTGATCCTAATTTTACAGATAAAACGAGTTTATTTTAAAGTAGCTCAAGGTCACATAGCTATTAACAAGCCCCCAAGAAAATCTTTCTATAAATTCCAGCCTTTAACTTGTAGGCTAGATTGTGATGAGCTGAGCTGAGATCTGACAATAGAGTGAAAACTTCAATTGCAATGAAGTGTGTGTGTGTGTGTGTGTGTGTGTGTGTGTGTGTGTCCATCCGTCTGCCCGTGCATGTGTGCATGTATTGTGATGAGCTGAGCTGAGATCTGACAATAGAGTGAAAACTTCAATTGCAATGAAGTTTGTGTGTGTGTGTGTCCATCCGTCTGCCCGTGCATGTGTGCATGTATTCTGGGGCTTGAACTTGGGCTGGAATGTCAGCTTTTGTCAGCTTTTGTACTCAAGGCTCACACTCTATCACTTGAGCCACAGCTCTCCCTCTTTTTTTTTTTTTTTGTAGACTTTCTTGCCTTGCTTGGATTGGACCTCAAATCTCATCCTCTGGAATAGCTAGGATTACCTAGCTTCCAGTGAACTTTAATAAAAAATTTTAACTTAAAACAATCAAAATCTGAAGTGTTTTATTCTTCTACAAGGATACAGTTTTACTCTTTATGCCTATTAAAATATAATTTTTAGTTTCAGCCCACTAATTCAGAAATTTTGAAAATTTAATTTTGTATGTATTACTATTATGAAGGCCAGGTGCCGGTGGCTCACCTTTAATCCTGGCTACTCAGGAAGCTGAGATCTGGGGATTGTGGTTCAAAGCCAGCCCACGCAAGGAAAGTCTGTGAGAATCTTCTCCAGTTAACCACCAGAAAACTGGAAGTGCCGTTGTTGCTCAAGTGGTAGAGCACTTGCTTTGAGCTGAAGAGCTCAGGGACAGTGCCCAGGTCCAGAGTCCAAGTCCTACAACTGACCAAAAAACAAGTTATGAAGGACTTCTTTATTTGAACTCTTCCTATTGACATTCAGTGAGATTATAGTGGGATGATGTTACACTTTTATGTTTCTGAGAGGAATCAAGAAATATTTTCTGTAAGGGCCATGATAGCCATATGGTCTCAACTGTGTGAAATCAGGCACGGACAATATGTAAACAAGAGAGCAGGATTGTGTTCCAATAAAACAGCAGCCTGAATTTGGTTTATTTGCCAATCATTGTCCCAAAGAATCTTGTGTTTTCTACATTGTGTATGTAGAAAGGAAGTTTTTCTCTATTGAACATATTGATAAAAAAGAAAATTTCCTAAAAGATAGTCATAGTATAAAGGACAATAGAAATAGTACCTCTATAGTAAAGAATACTGTTTAAGCATTTCTATGATAAATTTCATAATTTGAGGACATATATATATATTCATTTATTTCTTAAAATGATCACTTTGAATCTTAAAAAGTATACTAATTCCAATAAATTTTCCTTCCTTTATCATAATTAAGTAGGTTTACTATGAAAAGGCATGACACATAGTTGAGTGGTGAATTTATTTGGTTTTATTATGTAGATATTGAATTTATCTGAAAAAAATGGTATTAGGTATGGTTTGTCCTGTAAACATGTACAGTTAAATTATAGGTTCCAGATACAAGAATTCTCTGTTTTCAGCATTAGATTTTATAAATTTCTCATTACAAGATATTTTGACCCTACAGTGTCTTTTGGCTAATATGGTATGTATATTGGATATTAAGAATAGCATATACTTATTCTTTTTAGAGATTCGTCAGCGAACTGCAGCTCAAAGAAACCTTTCTCCAACACCTGCAACTCCTAATCAGGGACCTCCTCCTCCACAAGTTCCAGTGTCTCCTGGACCACCAAAGGATGCCTCAGCTCCTGGTGGACCACCGGAAAGAACTGTTACTTCCTCCCTACCATCAAATGCTTTATCAAGACGTCTTGGATCCCCTGCTACTTCAGTGCCTGGAATGGGTAAACAGAGCACTTAATGTTATTTACAGTTTATATTGTTTTCTCTAGTTACCAATAAAACGGGCCATTTTCAGACAGTATGGAAATGGCATTTCATTTGGAAATAGCATTGCAGTTATCTGATTAAGCAGGACTTCCATATCCAATTAGCCATAACTCTTTACAGCTGGCACCTTGTGATACTGAAACCTATTTCTTGAGCTCATTTAACTGTTATGGCTTCTTTGTTTAAATGGCAATAAAACTTTGTAGTATTCTGTAGTCAACAGTATAATATATCTTTTTATATTTAACTTCAGAATGGTTCCAGATTCATATATAATAGAGCTTGAAAGGAATACTTTTACAAAGTATTCATGTTTTTTGCTAATCCCTTCATATAATGATTTTAAACATGACAATGAACATATATCAGGAAGATTGTATTTTTGTACCCAATCCTGATTTTGCTAATATAGGCTAGTAGATTTATCTTTTTATTTTTTCTAAGTCATGGAATCTTAATATTTTCTAGTAGATACTTTATAAAGACCTGTTATTGGACCTTTTGATATTTTATTTTTTGGATTCTCTCTTTTCAGTGTGATGGATCTTAGGAAGAGATTCCATTCTGGAGTATAACACATACCATAAAATGCTCTGTTTCTTTTGGAATTTGAGGCATCGTAGTTCACTGCTTTAGCACATCACACCATTTTACATATATTTCTATGGAAGATTTATTAAATATGATAGTAAATTATTTTAGGATAATCTAATTTGGATTTTTTTGTTTTATGACTAGATACATGTAAATATAACTTATAATAATTTTGAGGCTAAGGATAGTTGCTATCCAGTAACCAGTATTTCTGTAATAAATCAGTAAGCAACCTATATATTACTTATTCTGGCAGACTTTTGACATGTTTTCCTTTAAAAAGCACAGCATAAAGTTCAAGAAAACTAGAAAACTATTAATTTTTATAAACAGTAACAAAGCTGACTGTAGATACAATGTTGTATAAATCTTAATGCTTTTAAAATAATTTATAAAAATGCATTAAAATTTCCCACTATACAGACACTGTATATTTAGTGAAATTGAGAATAGCTTTGTTGATTGAAAATTAATCATCTTTTAATTGTTATTTAAATAACTGATTTGTAATTTTAAGTTGTAATTTAAATTTCTGATTTAAAGTTCTGTTTATTTGGTGAGAATACATAACTTTTCACTTGTGTATTTTGTTTTGAAGATATAAAAGTTTAGTAACTTACACAGTTATAAGAATTGTATTTGTAAGGACAGGGCTGTAGAATTGACAATGGCCTAAATTCCATGTGTGTGTAAATAAAACATACTTTAGTAAAGTTACTAATTAATTTGAAAATGGCTTAGATTGTATATTGCCAAAAATATAAATGAGTTATATGATTTATTATAAAGAAGATTAATAATTCATTTTTTCATTATACCATTTTTGTGGAAGAGAATCAATTTAATGTGTATTACCACAGGGCTCCCATATGTTTGAAAATTAATAACCAGCAGGTACTTGATCATTTGCCAAGTTGTATAAAAATGACCAGTTTACCTGCAATGATTGCTTTTGATGTTTGCACTAATTACTGTTGTCCGTAACAGATGAGAATGAAGATGCATTATTTTAAAAGTTAGTGTGAAGGAAGTTTAAGATAGTTTTATAAAATGTATAGGTTATTTATGTATTTAGTTTGCTTTGTGGAAATGTTAACTTTAAATATGTAGAAGTAAAATAATCTAGCAAAAGTTTTGGCTTAAATGCTTTCAAAATCTGTGGACTGGCGACATGGCTCAGTTATATAACTTGCTCTGTGTGTGAAATGCTCTTCTTTCAATCTTCAGAGCATGCTAAGCAAAAACTAATTTGGGATGCTTCGTCAAGTTGAAAATATAAGAGGGATGACAATATCAATGACAATATCAATATTAAAGATTATTTTTCAATGATATTTGGATGTTATTAATACAAGTAACTAATAACTTACTTTCCTGATATCTTAAAATATGCTTGATTTGAAATACTAAGAACTTGTTCTACAAACCCAGATTTCATTAGTAAATAATTATTACTGTGTTATCAGTTGCCCCTTCTTTTGTGACAGTATTAAGACAATAAAGATTGTAACTGTAATGCTAGACTTTAACATTTTAATAACTTGAAAGTATTTGTAACAGCCATTTTTGAATTTTGAATTTCTATATTTTAAGACTTATTCCAACAGGGCCCCGTTTTAGTTCAGTTTTTTTTTTAATAAAATCTCCGTGTAAATCTCCATTTCTACACACACTACTCTTTACCTTCTCTTGTTATACAAAGGCAAACATCATGCTTTTAAAATTTTACTCTCTAATTTTCTTTTCATCTCCTTGTTGTCTCTCAATTAAGAGTATTTCCTACATATAGTTACTTTTCAGTATTTAGAGGTCAAAGATGAACAATGTATGAAGTGTAAATGTTATCTATTATTTAAGTAAATGAAAAAACCAAATAATATATATTATCTTCATACACATGGAGTCACATATAAAGTATGTCATGTTTTAGTACTTCTTGCATGTCACTTTAAAAGAACATATTCTGTTCCTGTTGGATAGAGCATGTATGAAAGGCAATTTTATAAACTTGATAGTAGAGAGTATTGTTAAAGTTTTCAGTTATTCCTGAGTTGTGTCTGCTTACTTTATAAATTACTGAGAAAGACTACTGAATTTTTCTTGATAAACATTTTTGTCACTAGGAAGTTAATCCATTTTATCCATTATGATAATTTTGCTCTGAATATAACTACTTTAGATATTTTGATTACTCTTAGTGTCTTTTTATCTATTATTTTAATTTTACTCTATTTAGCCAGTGTATCTCCATTCTTTTAGTGTTTTTTTTTTTTGGGTGGTGGGGGGAGGATAGAGGGACTATGGAGCATATGTTGAAGTCTAGTTTAAATTTTTTTTAATCCAGTCTAACTGTCCTTACTTAATTGTGAAGAATATTCATGTCACAAAAGTTTAGTGTAATAATTTGTATGTTTGAGTTTGCTTTTAAATTTTTAAGTGCTTTTGCTTTTTCCTTTCCTGTTTGTTGCATGTGTTCCCTGTGTTACCACTGGTTCTAGGACTTGAACTCAGGGCCTGGGCACTGTTTCTGAGCTAGTACTACCACTTAAGCCATAGGTTCACTTCCAGCTTTTTGGTGGTTAATCGGAGATGAGAGTCTCAGGACTTTCCTGCTTGAGCTGGTTTTGAACCTTGGTTCTCAGCTATTAGCTCCTGAGTAGCTAGGATTGCAGGTGTAAGGCAAAGAAGCCTGCCCTTTCCCTTACATTCTTCCTTCTTTTGGATATCTTTTATTATAATAATTTATTATAGTATCTTTTATTATTATGTCAATCTTTTGGTGCCTTATTGTTTGTAATATTTTTGAGTTATTTTAATAGTTACGTTGGGATATAGTAGTTTATATCTTTAATTTACCACAGTTCCCTTTGGTGATTACCATTTTAAATGTAGTTCTAAGACTACTTACATTTCTTCTCTTCTGCCCTTTGTGTTATTATTCCTTTGACACTGCCATCCATTTTACTGCTACATGTTAAACCAACATAAGTTACATTTTTCAAAGTGATTCAGAAAGTGAAATGTCTTTTTTAGTTTGTATAGAACCTAACTTACGTTTGTTTCTTAATATATTAAATTGGTAGTTTTGATGTAGTAGACATTTAAATTTTTTTATTGCACAGTATTTTTAATGAAAATGCGTATGTTTTAGAAATATAAGAATATTTTATTTGTTTCATTAAAATGTTTTAACAGTTCCAACACATTTATCTTGTTCCTGTTTATATCTTTTATATAAATCTTATATAGATTTATTTATTTAATAGGTCTTCATCCTCCAGGTCCACCCTTAGCAAGACCCATTCTTCCCCGAGAACGAGGTGCTCTGGACAGAATTGTTGAATATCTAGTTGGTGATGGTCCACAGAACAGGTAATGTTTACTAGGTTGATAAATAAAGGAAAATGAAAATGTTTATCAGTCAGGATGTATATGTATACCCCTGTCGCCAGGTGTGTAAAGCCATATCTATACTAGATGTTCTGTACTTTTGTGGCTCTTGTTTCCTAATTATTAGGACATACTGGAGCATTGTAAACCACTGAAAAGTAACACATTCACATTTTTGGTAAAAGTTGGAAAAAACAATCTAGATAAAATCTATTTGGAAAAAATAAGACTAGTTTGGTTATAAGATTAATTTTAGAGAACTTAAATTATGTTACTGAAACTTTTAAAGATGGAGAACACAAAAATAGTGAAAACCTGGTAAATAGGAAGAAAAGAACTTTGACAGGTGTCAGTTCTGAACTTGATGAGAGTAATACTTTTAATAGTGATAACAGTTTACATGTCCTTGCTGTCATTCTAGGAAGTTAGGTATGTAAGTGTAGAGCAGTTGTCATAGTATAGATTTTAAAAAGTTCATTGGGTAGCAGAGTAGATGTTTGACAGCTTTATTATAAAGAGAATAGAAGATGATGATAATGTGTAATTGGGAAAACAAGCACAGGAAACCCAATGTATAGAAATTAAATTAAGTATCTTTTTTTTTTCTACTGCAAGATTTCTCAGAGGTTTGAATAATATTCATTGTGAATTTCCAAAAAGGGTTACATCTTTTTCTAAACATTTGACCACAGATTTGGGAGCTATCATCACAAGGAATGTACATTGGGAAACCTAAATTTAAGTGTTCTGTTATTGAATATGCTTAACGATATATTCAGCTTTTTCTTAGTTTATTTTTAATATGATGTACAAATTGTATTTCAAGATAGTTTAGGTCCAATGTTGGTAGTTCTTAACTTACCATCCTAGCTACTCAGGATGCTGAGATCTGAGGATTGTAGTTCAAAGCCAGCCCAGGCAGAGAAGTCCCGTGAGACCTCCAATTAACCACTCAAAAATCAAAAGTGGTGCCAGGCGCCGGTGGCTTATGCCTGTAATCCTACCTACTCAGGAGGCTGAGATCTGAGGATCACGGTTCAAAGCCAGGCCAGGCAGGAAAGTCGGTGGGACTCTTATCTCCAATAAACCACTAGGAAACCGGAAGTGGCTCTGTGGCTCAAGCGGTAGAGTGCTCGCCTTGAGCTGAAGAGCTGAGGGACAGCGTCCAAGCCCAGAGTTCAAGCCCCACGACCAACAAAAGAAAAAAAAAATCAAAAGTTGTGCTGTGGCTCCAAGTGGCAGAATGCTAGCCTTGAGCAAAAGAGCTCAGGAACAGGGCCCAGACCCTCCACAACCAACCCCTCCTCTCTGCACCCCCCCAAAAAAATAGGTTAAAGTTTTGATTTTGGTTGACCTTGGATTTTGTTTAAGGATTTTTCCAAATAATGTATCATCTATTATTGCATATTGAGCTATGTTGAAATATAAATTAGCCTTGGTGTCCTAGTAACCTCTTCTATGAACTTTGTCCACATTTGTATCTGTTATGTTAATTATTTTTCCTTTTATGTAGGTATGCCCTTATTTGTCAGCAGTGCTTTTCTCATAATGGTATGGCTTTGAAGGAAGAATTTGAATACATTGGTAAGAATTATTGAACAGTTAGGTTTAATATTTTACTCTTAAATATTTTATTCTATGCATTTTCTATGTAATGCCAGTTCTTTTAGAACCTGTCTACATTGACTAGGCATATTGCCCTTACCTAAAATGTGCTGTGAAGTACTGTGAGTTGTGAAGAACTTGGGTTATCTTCACAGTGAGTTGTACTAAAACTTACTACACATCAAAATCACCTGAAGCACTTAAAAAAATTATGATGTCTAGGACATATCTACAAATAGTCTAATTTTTAGTGGATTTTAAGAATGAGCATTGTCTTTTAAGCTCACAGATGATTGTCTCATGCACACATTATTAAATTATTATTTGTTAAATAGTACTTTGGAAATATGACATGAGCAAGGTTCTGGATTTTATAATGATTCTGTTGACAACTGCAAGTTTAGTAATAACTTTAAATTATTAATATGGTATTAGTTAACCACTATTTAACTTGTTATATCTTTTATTTAGAATTAATATCCTAATTTTAATAACTAGAAAGTATACTTTGAAATTAACTTTAGTTAAAACACATACCATAATATAATAAAATGAATTTCACAAAATAACCTTTGAGAGGTTCTTTGACTTTGTAATTATTAAGTTATCTGATTAGTCTTAAAATTCTCTTTGATTTGTGATTTTCTTTATTAAAAACAATTTTCCACAGCCTTTCGATGTGCCTACTGTTTTTTCTTGAATCCTGCAAGAAAAACTAGACCCCAGGCTCCAAGACTTCCAGAGTTTAATTTTGAGAAGAGGCAGGTAGTTGAAGGATCAAGTTTAGTTGATGACTTGACGTCAGAAAGTATGCTTTCATCAGAGAATCGATTTAGTGAAGGTATGAGTATGTTAATTGTTTTTCTCTTAAAATTGTGCGCTGTTTAACAGTAATAAAAGCGTAATGCCTACAGATAACAGTAGATTAACTTTACCAATATTTGCAGTATGCACGTCAGCTATTGCTCTTGGTGGCCTTCCTGTGTGATTGGTAAGATGTGTTCATGTTTTAAAATGCAGGTTATGTTGTCGTGAGCAGCATTTAACACCAGCCAGGTAAACATTGTTTGTGGAGTGAGCTCTTCTGAAAACTTGAGTCATTTTTTTAAAAAAAGTGTATCTTAATGAAACGTTATTTGACTATGAAACAGCCATTAATGAAGTAATTAGAAAAATTGTGATTAATATTAATACAATAGGTATGTATCTTCCACTTGAATTGGTAGAAATTATCAGAAAATTTTTGGAATTGGAAAATCATCTTTGCAGTTTTTGGGTGGTTATATTAATAAGGACTGTGTTTCATTGAAACAAAACAATAGCTATATATGAGTTTAACATTGTCATTTACATAAAACCAACCTACATTTGCAGAAACAATTTCCTAGAATTTGTAATTTAGAATTCATCTTGCAATTCTATTTTAGGAATTCTTGAGGACGTTTATGAGAAGATGAGATAGACCTGACTATTAACTGCCAACTATTTCTTGCAATTAAAATTCAGTCAGGAGTTCTTTGCTAAATTTTGAAGAAATATTAAAATAATACTAAAATACTGAAATAATAATTGCTAAAATTATGACAGAGTCCATGATATTTTGGTGGTATTCTTGGTGTAGGAAAATATTTATACTGGAAGTTTAGTTCATTTAATTAGTTATTTTGTGTTGGTTCTGGGGCTTGAACTCAGGGCATGGGTGCTACCCCTGAGCATTTTTGCTCAAGGTTAGCACTCTACCACTTGAGACATAGCCTTAGTCCCAGCTTTGTTTGGTGGTTAATTGCAGATAAGATTCTCATGGGCTGGATTTGAACCTTGGACCTCAGCTCTCAGCCTCCTGAGTAGCTAGGATTATAGGCATGAGCCCCCAGAACCCTATATTTAATTTAACAGTCAGCATTCCACCTTTTAGTTTCTACAAATTATTTATATACATTTGATTTCCAGCAAAAGCTGGAAGTGGAGTTGTGGATTAAGTGGTAGATCACTAACTAACCTTGAGAACAAAAGATCAAAGACAGTGCCCAGGCCCTGAGTTCAAGCTTTAGTATTAGCATTCTCCCTTAACCAACCCCTCAAAAAATATAACAATTGCAAACAAAATTTTTTTTTTTGTATATTCTGTGAGGCAGTGAACTTTTAGAAATCAGAAATTTAGTGTGAGATTTCAGGACTTTTTTTTTTTTGGACTTTGAAATGAACCTAAAATATGTATGCTGAATTGGGCTTCGCTTTTGGCTTACTAACATCAAAATAAAATTGAATATATATAGCTATGACAGAGGCCTATGTACTTCCAGCACAGAATGAATGCATTCATCTTCTCCAAGTCTGCAACATCAACTTCAAACCGTGTCAAATTTTTTCTTTTGCTTAAGTCATTGTTCTGAGCTGCATGCTTTCACATGCAAACCACCTGCGTTGGCATTGCAGCATCTCCAAGCTGAGAATTAAAGGATATCATACTGAAGATGCCTAGAGGAAAAATTGAAGTCTTTGCCATGAGTAACCTTGTTTATGAGAGCTAAAGTGAATATTCGGAAGCCAATAGGTGGGATTAAAAAAATAAAAGAAAAAGAAAAAGAAAAAAGCCAGCAAAATAAAAATCTTGATAATGGGTCCTGTGCTTTATTTCTTTTGCTAAGGTCAAGATGGATAGTTAGCAAACAACACCCAGCTGTACCTTTCCTTCTCATCTAATCTAGGCGGAGCAATACCCCAGATGTCTCATTTTCTGTCTGAAATCTCTGGAATGAAGTCTAACTGGCTCAAACTCAACCCCAGTAAGGTAATGTTAATAGGCAAAGGCAAACCTTGAGGCAGGGTCTGCAGACTCCATACTACTAAAAGCGGAAGCAACAATTCTGTTTGGTTAAGGCTGTTTCTAGAATAGTAACTTTTTCATAATTCTTTTTGGATTCATCAAATTGGCCATGAACATCTTTCTGTCCTTTGGCTCTCCAGAAGACTGAAACTTTTCTCCAAGATTCCTATTACCACACTATAATACAGTTTTCAATTCAAATCTGGATTCCTTCAATGAACAATGGGGAAGTATTACTGATGAACTGATGAAGCTGGATATGATTTGGATGCCAGTAGTGTACCCTTACAATTAAATTGAACTATTAAATAGGACCATATCATCTTAATCATCTGCTCAGCTAATAGGCAATGCCACTGGGAATGTAGGTTTCTGGTTTCTAAATTCTTCAATGATGCAGAAAATTGAGGAATGAACAAAAACATTCTTGCTTCAATTTTTGTATTTTTTTAACATTGAAATAGCTTATTGGTATCAGCAAGAATTGTATAGATTAGGGTATTGAATTTACAGATGTACTCAAAAGTTAACTTTCACCTGAAGTTTTCTTTCAGCCAATGTCAGTAGCTTCTTTTTTTCTAGTCTATGACACAAGAATTTTTAAATTCAAGTTTGTCTGGATTCTGATATTAGAAGATTTTACATTTAGGTTGAGAAATCAGGCTTTACTCTTTGGAGTAACATGGAATCTTATACAGATTTCATCAGAGACCTTGAAGAAATTTCTCATTAAAATTTAAATTCTCAGCATTCTCCTTCCTCCACTGTGTATCTGTCTATATGCTTTGGTGACGAATAATTAAGGGAAAAAAACAGAAATAAGGGATACGGAACAGATTGCCTTATATCTGAAATCACAATGGATATGGAGTACTAAAAAGTGAATTGCTTTGAGATCCCCACTTTATTGTTAAATAATAGTACTTGACTAAATAATAGCAATAAATAATAGTAATAATAGTAATACTTGAATCTCTAACAAGTGACAATAAACTCCATTTTACCCTCAGAAAAGTCCTAAGCTGGGCACTGGTAGTTCATGCCTGTAATTCTGCTACTCCAGAGGCTAAGATCTGAGGATCAAGTTTCAAAGCCAGCCTGGGCAAGAAAATCTGTGAGATTCTGATTTCCAATTAACCACTGAAAAAGCCAGAGATGGTAATAGTGGTAGCCTTTGAGCAAAAATGTTGAGGAACATTTCCCACTAGCCCCGAGTTTGCCTCAAAAAATAAAATAAAAATGAACATTCATATTAGTGCACACCTGTAATCCTAGCACTTGGATGACTGCATCAGAAGGCTTCTGAGTTCAAGACCAGCTTGAGCTCTACATAATGAGACTGTTTCAAAAGGAGAAAAACAGCTTTTAAAAATACCTGAGATATACCATTTTTAATTAAATTTAGTAACCTAATTATTACTTCTAGGTATCTACATTGTTATTTTACTCTAGGACTGTGGTTGGTTTTTTGACTACCATGTTTAAAAAAATGTTAATATTATGTCTTCATTACTCTAATTTTGTTTAGGACTCATGTAATATATTTTAATAGATAATAGCTCTTAGTGAATGAATAACTCAATAATAAAACTCATGGCATCTAATACTAGTAAAAATAGTAAAGCTTACATAAGATAAAACTTATTTTGGTGATATGATTTCCATCTACCCTTCTATGCAAAATACTGTTATATTTAGGTTAAGTTGAATGGGAGAAAATTTGTCTTTTAGTAGATTTGCTATTGATCATGAAAATTATATTATCCAAAATGCATAGGCACTTAATCTTCAGCTTTTCAAGATGATCTGTGGCATGTTGTTTCATGCTTACTTTAGCTATAGATTTTTTCTTTCTTTTTTTTTTTTTCTTTTTGGTCATAGAGCTTGAACTCTGGGCCTGGGTACTGTCTCTGAGCTCTTCAGCTCAAGGCGAGTGCTCTACCACTTGAGTTTTCTGGTGGTTTGTTGGCTAGCTTTGACCTGCGATCCTCAGATCCCAGCCTCCTGAGTAGCCAGGATTACTGGTATGAGCCACAAGCACCCGGCAGATATAGATATCTTTTGACCATCAGAAACTATTTTCTAAACCATCTTCAGCCTTCTAAACCACCTTCAGCTTTCTAAACCACTTTCATCTTGACCACTGCTTAATAGTAAAATTCATACTTTATTTGCCAGTAGTAATTAATTCAGTGATACTCTTGTTGAATTCTAGATATTTCCTCATAAGTGGCTATAATTTAACTTTATTCATTTGGTTATCTGGTTTGTTCCTTTGTTCCTTAACAGTAAATTGACTATTGTTTGTAAGGCAGGAAAGTCTTTTAAAATTGCTTTTTAAAAAAATCTATGAGTTCAAAGACAAATTGTCAATTTAATATGATGTTCTTTGGGTATACAAATAGTGAACACATATACTGGGTAAATGAAATTGTTTCTAGATTATTCTTTAATTTTCTTACAAAATTATTCTTTCAAGAGCTAGTATAAAAACTTACAAGTAAGGTAAAGTTCTTGTATGTTTTCTATGTGCGGTTTATGTGTGGAGCAGTGGTATTCATTATATTGCTTTCTCAGTTTTATGAGTTAGAGTTGTCTATCTGAGTTGAGGCTTTGCTCTACTAACTGTATACCAGTTCATTATTTAGTGAGGGAAAAACTTGTCTTTCATTGGGATGGAGTGTGAGAGAAGTAAAAGTTGGAAATTAAAAAAATGATGGACCATTTTTGTCAGATTGTGTGGTAAAATTGTATTGGGATTGTAGATGCTACAGTTAATATAATTTTTTTTACACCTGGTTAACATAGGTTTTCCAGGTAACAGTTTTGGCTCATAAATTGGACCATACAGAGCATAATAGGTTTGCTTATTGTGAACAAAAAGGCTGATTTTTTTTTTTTTTTTGCCAGTCCTGGGTGCTGTCCCTGAGCCTCTTTGTGGTTAAGGCTAGGGCTCTACACTTGAGCCACAGTGCCACTTCCGCCTTTTTCTGGGTGGTTTATTGGATATAAGAATCTCATGGATTTTTCTTCCCATCCTGGCTTACAACTGCAATCCTCAGATCTCAGCCTCCTGAGTAGCTAGGGTTACAGACATGAGCCACGTGCCCCGGCTTGGTTTCTTTTTTTTAATATTATGTGGCTAAGTATTTCTATCTTCTAAAATGTATTTTATATCACCAAGCTGTTTTAACCTACAGTTACACAGAAAAAAAATTTAAATAAGTTTTTTATTGTGAAAATACTGTACAGAGGGGTTACAATTACATGAGCAAGGTAATGAGTACATTTCTTATCAAGCATTGTTGCCTCCTCCTTTGTTTTTCCCCTATGCTCCCTTCTCATCTCCACAACTACACAGAATAGGCATATGATTTTCTCATGGAAGTACTTTAAAAATAGTACATTAGTCTTATTAAAAAGCCCTGAGATTTTGTTATAGGATATTTTTATTTGTACCTGTCATTTATATTTTGTTTGTGTAATTTCTTACAAAATGAAATTAGCTTCTAAACATCAAATACTGGCTCATTTAGACTATCTAATGTCTGCATTATAAAAGTCACATTATTTTTTTGTAGTGTAACTGCTATTAAGATTTGTTTTCTGCAAATCAACCCAAAGGAAGAAAAGTAGTTAGTAAGAGATTCTGATTATTTTTCAGCCCTTGCTATCATTTCACCAGTTTTTTTAGTTTTCTATTTAGTATCTAAAATTACAATATTGATTAGGAACTTTGTGTAACATATTTTCTAATTATGGTAGCATATGATATTTCTTTGACTTTATTACAGATATTTAAACCTTTCAGAATTACAGTTCCTATATTAATAGCTTTTTTATGAACTCAGAATTTTAAAATTGGCTTTGACTAGTAAAGTAATTCTGAATCTAGTAATGACACAAAACTTTAATAGTGAGGAACTGGTGGCTTACACCTGTAACCCTAGCTAGTCAGGAGGCTGAAATTTGAGGATTACAACTTGAAGCCAGCCTGGGCACAAAAGCCCATGAAACTTTTAACTCCAATTAACCACCAAAAAGCCAGAAGTTTAGCTATGGCTCAAGTGTTAGAGCACGAGACTTGAGCAAAGAAGCTCAGGGAGTGCACTCAGGCCCTCAGTTCAAGTTCCAAGACTGGCACAAAAAACCAACCCCTTCCCCCAAATCCAAACCAGCAACAACAACAAAAACTTCAATATAATAAACCTTGAATTTTGATACCCCTTTTGTGTCAGTATAGTTTTGAGACAATCTGTCAGATAAAGTATGATAAACTATGTGGGTCTGTGTTCTCTTAAACATGGACATTTGTGGGTTGTGTCTTAGATTCTGAACTTTTTTTTTTTCATGTTGTGTGGCTTTATTGACTTGTTTCAGAAGACTTGGGTAAACAAATTATAAAGTTCCTGCCAAGTAAGTATTGCTTTATGGCTAAAGAGTTATGGAAAACTGCGACTCCTAAAATTCTACCATGGATAAATTCTGTGAGGGTAGAATTACAAATGGTTGGCAGCTCCTAACATTTTTTGCAGAACTTGTTTGATTTTGCAGCAGGAATGACTTGTTTCATTTGCCTTTATCTGCTTTTTCCTTTCTACCATGGAACATTTGAAGAACAAAACTCATGACCTGCTTTTTGGATTTTTGTTAAGAGCCCAAGTGATACACAATGCTATTTTAAGTTCATTATTGAGATACAAGTAGGATTTTATGACATTTGTCACAAATATGATTTATGAATGTTACCCACTAATATTTATTATAATATGAAATTTTCCTACACAAAGGTGTTATCAATTGTAATTTGTAGTTCACTGTAAACCCAGGGCTAACATCTATTTAAGGAAATAAAAATTGAGTATTTTCAAAGGCCTGGCAAAGAATGTGGGAGAAATAAATATGTTTATTATAATTGGTATGGTAAAACCATGAATGTCTTAAAATTTCAGGCGAATATATACCTATAACAGATAATATGTTTGCAAAACTATATTTATTTTGCAAAACTTGGGCTCATACTAGGCAAGGAATTTAACTAGAACTTTACCCTAAGTAGGTTGTCTTTCCAAATTTTTTGAATCAATAATACTTGTAATTTATCATAAGGGATCTTCTATGACAGTAGTAAAATCTGGTGGCTCAGTGGTAGAGTGCTTGCCTTGCATGCATGAGGCCCTGGGTTCCATTCCTCAGCACCACATAAGCAGGAAAAAAAAAAGCCGGAAGTGGTGCTATGGCTCTAGTGGTAGCATGCTAGCCTTGAGCTGAAGAGCTAAGGGACAGCGCCCAGGCCCAGAGTTCAGGCCCCACGACCGTACCCCCCCCCAAAAAAAAAAAAAGAAAAGAAAATCTGTTTTTTTGCCTAGCTGACATGATTTAACTATTTTTTTCTAGTAAGATTATTACCTCAAGGCTAGATTTTATCTTTCACTTGGAAATTGGAAGGCTCAAAGCTTCTTTGCTCCTATTAGTCCCTCCTTTATGTCATTCTTTAAAATTTGAAATATTAAGTACAGTTTATTTAATAAAATTGTTATTAAGGTATTTAAATTTAATAAAACTTAAAAGAGCGTTTAAGGAAATAGTTTTCAGGTAGAGACCGAGATCTATACTTTTAACTTTTGCTATGAAGACAGGAAAAAGACCCTTTTCTTTCTAGCACACTAGAGATAAATTCTGACCTAGAGTTTTGTGGGTTTTTTTTTTACAAGAAAACTACAAATTTTAATAATCTTTAAAAATATGAACATTTTTCTGGTGAACTTGGGGTTTAAACTTGGGGCTTTGTGCTTGCTGGGCAGTGCTCTGTCACTCCAGTCATGCCTCCATCCCTACTTTGCTCTGGACATTTTTGAGATAGGATCTTGCTTTTTGTCCCAGCTGGCCTGGAATCATGAACCTCCTATTATTGCCTCCCACCACATCTAGGATTATAGGCTCATGACAACCCTCTCAGCTTTTGGTTGAGATGAGATTTTCATAAATGTTTTTGCCTGGGTTGGCCTCAAGCTGTGATCCTCCCGATCTCTGCTTCCTAAGTAGCTAGGATTATAACTGACCTAGAGTTTTAAAGAGTGAGAATTTGCCTTGCTCTTGGGTAGAGGGAATTTTGCCATACTTTTGAAAAAGATGAATTCTGACTTCCTCATTCCTTGAATAATCAAGATGAAAATAAGATGGGATATCACCTAAACACACACATGCATACGTACACATAAAAGAAAAATTTACACATTGCTTACAGGATTGCTCAGGTATAAGGGGGAACAGTTTCTTCTTACAGTATAATCTAAGAGTTTATTGGCTACACAGTAGTCTTATAGCACCTAATTCTGTTTGTTAGACTTGGGAGTTGGGTATCCAACTGATAAATGTGTCTTTAGAAGCTAGTAGTTTTGAAAACATTCAAATATAATTTTGGCTATTTTTTCTTCAGTGATACTACATCATAAATATTCTTATAGAAAGTACTAATTTTAAAAGATTTTAGAATCACAATAAAAATTGTATTGTTTCTTAATCCGTTCCTGCCACATGTGTGTTTGTGTATTTTGCTGTATTTAACAGTTTTAACATTACTGTTTTCCTAAAATCTTGAATGTTTCCAGAATCTTTAGAAGAACAAGATGTCCTTGATAACAGCACAGAACAGACAGATGACAAAATACCAGCTACAGAGCCGACAAACCAAATGACAGAAAAGGCATCTGGCTCAGAGGAACAAGAGGAGAAAGTAGAAGAAACAGAGAATGAGGAAAACTCAACAAATGAAGCCAAATCAACCATTTTCAGAGCTGATTCTATTACTAATCTTGAACTAAGTGGAGAATCTTTGATGACAAAGTAGTAAATGTTTCCATGTGCCTTCAACTGGATATTAGTAGCCTTGTTGATGTCAGTTATTGCTTTTTTTGATGGTACTTAAAAATATTTTTTGCCCCTACATGTATATTCTTGATAACCATTTAAATTCAGATTGCCTAGAAATTTCAGTATATCACTAAACTAGAGGATATTGAAGTTAAAAGCAAGCAATACCAGTGAAATGAGATACTTTTGAATGTACAATGATTCACAGATTTAGATAGCTTTTAGATATTTTGTCTATCCTAACAAAAATGGATAGCACTTTTGTTTTCTATATGTATCACTTGTAAATAATCCTTATTTTGACATAGGAATACTTTTGGTTAGGAATAATTCTCTAGTTGTGTTTGTTTTAAGGAAATGAAACACAATTAAGATTTTTGAATATTTCATCATTATAACCTAGTAGAATTTTAACTCGAGATATTTGCCAGTGTGGTGGAAATATCTGTTTAGGTGTTTACATTGATATTAAAGTTATAATTGTAACTATATAGGCATTGGTACGAATTCTCAGTAAGAATGTAATTGAATAGTCAAGTGCAGTGTTTCTATTGATGTCTTTTATTTTGCAGCTGGGCCAAAGGCATATGTTGTATATAATTAGTTTATGTTTACATATTAACATATAGGAAATATACCTGCACTTGACTGTACTTGAATTCTTAGTATTATTTATACTTGTAAAATAATGATGATGACATATAAGTGAATTTTGTGCTCTTGTGTGTGTTTTGTTAAGGAAAATAAATATGACCTGGCAGCAATTCCTTTCTGTTAAATATCTAGATTTCTTTAAATCATATATTGGTTGATGACTTGGGTATGTAGAAACAGACCTCACATATGATAAATCTATAGCTTCTGCTGAGAACATCATAATGCCTTTGTTCTGACTTGTTGCTTTAATTATTTTTCTCATTTGGAAACACCTTAAGCCATTTGTAGTTCTTGAGAGATGAATGTTTTGTAAAAACAGACAGCTAAGTGCTAATACTTTGTTGGATAAAATATGTATGCTAATCAAATGGGGGAAAGTGGACCTAGAATAGAAATCTTGGTATAGATTGGTATAGAAATACAGTATGAAGCCGGGCGCTGGTGGCTCACGCCTGTAATCCTAGCTACTCAGGAGGCTGAGATCTGAGGATCGCGGTTCAAAGCCAGCTCGGGCAGGAGAGACCGTGAGACTCCTATCTCCAATAAACCACCAGAAAACCGGAAGTGGCGCTGTAGCTCAAGTGGTAGAAGAGCTGAGGGACAGTGCCCAGGCCCAGAGTTCAAGCCCCACAACCGACAAAAAAAAAAAAAAAATACAGTATGATAATTTGCTTTAGCTTCCTTGTACTTCTCTTCTCCATTTGTGTGTGTGTGTGTGTGTGTGTGTGTGTGTGTGTGTGTGTGTGTGTGCATGTGCATGTGCATGTGCATGTGTGCATGTGTGTACACACACACCAGTACTGAGACTTGAACTCAGGGCCAGAATGCTCTCCTGTACTTTTTTAGCTCAAGGCTAATCACATCTCTATTTCTGGCCTTTTGTGATTAATTAGAGAGTCTCATGGATGTTCCTTCCTGCCTGGCCTGGCTTTAAACTGCTATCCTTGGGTTTTAGTCTCCTGAGTAGTTAGGATTGCAAGCATGAGCCACTGATCTCTGGCTATCCTCCAACTTGAAAAAAAAACAACAAAAATACCATTAACATTGTTATGCAACAGTGGTGTCTCTGGCTAATATTTCAGTTAGAATTGAATATAACTTTTTATCATTTAAAATTCATTATGATTTATTATCATTTAACAATTATTTCTAAAGAACTATTAGTGGTCTTAGGCAACTTGGTATAATGGCTACAGTCCCAAACTGGACTTACAGTCTTGAGCAGTCTCACCTAACCTCTCTGTGAATATTTCTCATCTGTAAAATGGGAAGATTGCTACCTGTTTTTCAGAGGTATTGGGATAATTAGGAAAATTTCTGTAATGTGCCTAGTTCACTTACCTGATAATAGCTACTAAGTAAATGGGAGCATGCATTATTATTGATATCTCTGTGAAATACGAAATCTTCCTCTGGTAGATAAAAAACAAATCAGTATTCAGTCAACTGCTCAGGACAAAACCAAAGTTTTCTTCACCAATTTTTCTTTGTCATATGTATGTGTATAAATATGAAGATTAAATAAAACTCAAATATAACCTTTCTAGAAAGCGATTTTCATCAGTTTTTGATGGGTTATTAACCCATATTTGTCTTAGCAGTACTCTGTAGCATCCTGTTATAAAACATTTAAATTCTGATGTCCATTACTTGAAAACAAGTATCTTGGAAAAAAAACAATGGTAGAATGAAGAGATAAGGATATATTTGAAAGAAATTTAAAAAAGGATCAAGCTTAAAAGGATAGCAAAATTAATATAAAAATAATGTGCTTGTGATTATATAGTATCTATTAATATAGAAAAGTTTATCCTGATAGTATATAAAATAGAAAAGTTTATCTTGATAATAAACAATGATTGGAAGAATAGTAAAATGCCCCATTTCTAATGATTAAAACTAGTGTAAAAGAGAAAAACTCATCTATTCAGTACTAATGGCTAGAGCCATCTTCAATTCACTGGCTGGTCATCATCTAAATCCTTCTTAACTGCTCCTTAGTGTGATCTATAGGCTTGAGAGTTTCTCTCCTTCCCATCTTTATTCTTGTAGTATAGCCATACAAACCTCCTTTTAATTCTTTGGCCATACTCAGTCCTTTTCTGCCTTAGGTCTTGGCTTATTTTATTTTCCTTAGAGAGATGCCCTCATCCTCCTATCAGTAAAAGGCCGGTGCCCTTTGCTCAACCATCATGTCACCTATCTTTATTTACCATCCTTATCACAATTCCTAAGTATTTTATTTGCTTGTCATTAACTCTCTTCAAAGGTTTTCTTCTACATCTTGAGGAGTGAGCACAATGCCTGACACATTTATATGTGAATGAATAACTTGCTATACCCAGTGAAAACTTTGAGTTCTTATTCACTGCTTGGCAGATTGACATTGCTGAGTACTCCCTCTTTGAAATGGCTTTTCTTTTTCTTTCTTAATATACTACGGTTCTCTTCTCTGCCTTCTTGCTACCCTTTGCAAGACTCTTCCTCTCTCTCTGCCCATCCTTTATATGTTGGTATTCTATGGACAGCTCCTGTTATTTCCTGTCAGTTCTTCCTCTGCATATTCTTTAGTTGTTATCTGTCATCTGTTCTCAACTGTCTATCTGAATGTTAGATCTTCAATCTTGGTTTGTTTCCTTCTCTACATAGCTATATATTCATCCACTTCTTGCCATGTCTCACAATCTGTATGTTAAAAAAAGCACCCCAGGCACCAATGGCTCACTACAGGAGGCTGAGATCTGAGGATAGTACTCTAAAGCTATCTAGCCTGGACAGCTCCAATTAACCAAAAAGCTAGAAGTGGAGCTCTGTGTGTGTGTGTGTGTGTGTGTGTGTGTGTAAAAGCAAAGAAAAGAGGGAGGAAGGGGAAGGAGACAAAGGAGGGAAACAGGAGAGAGACATTAGTTAGGCTGGCCTCAAACTTTATGTTGTATCCCAGGCTTGCCTTAAACTAGAGATCTTTATGCTTTATGTTCCTGTATGCTGGGACTGTAGGTATATGCCACTATGCCTGACTTTCCCTAATGTATTTTACATATATTCTCATTTCTCTGCCTCATATGCATTGTTTTAGTAATGATAAAAACATCTGCTTATTCTGCCAGACAACATCCTAAAAGTTTATATATATATATATATATGTATGTATGTATATGTATATGCATATATATAATTTCATTTGTTCTTTGACAACAGTTCTGTGAAATTTTTTATTTCAGGATTATAGGAGAGTCCTTCATTATAGAGAGAATACTCTGTAGATAGAGCCCAGAGCCTCATCTATGCGGAGCATATCCTCTACCACTGAACTACATCCCCATTCTCTAGAGGCTTTACTCTTAATTATTACTATGCTACCTTCTAATTCATGCCTTGATCACCTCAGGTTACTTAAAGATTCCTTTTAACAAGTTTCCCTGTCTCCACTTTGCCCATGTACTGTTTTTTCTGTGTATTGCAGTAGCATATCATTGCTTATCCCTTTAATGATTCCTTACTGTTCTTGGAATAAGATTCAAACTTACGAATATTGGCCTGTAAAGCCCTAGATAAATTTGCTTTTACTTCTTGTTGGCATCTTTTTATACACTTGTGTCACTATACACGTTATCAATGTAGCTATACTAAGATTGTGCTGCATGTGCAAGTTTTCCCCTAAACTTTTTCAAGCCCTTCTTTTGCCTAAGGGCAGCCTGTTCATGTAGATAGCAAGGGCATTGAATAAGTAGCTGCTGAAATAGTTCCAGTTAAACCCAAGTTTGGGAATTTTGGTACTTGTTAAGATAGGCCCTTTGTTCTTTATATGGTACTCTGTTTGAACCGGCCTTGCCGCCTTGGATGGCTAGCACACTAGTACCTCAGCCATGACCATACCCATTTTGTGCTCTTTCTTTCTTTTTTAAAGGCCTCACTTTTTCCTCCTGGGGTCAGTCCTAGACCTAGATCCTCTTGCCTCTGCTGCTTCTGTACTTAGGGTTTCAGAGGAGTGCCATCACATCTAGTTCATTTTTTGATAAGGTCTCACTAACTTTTTCTTTTGCTCTGACAAGGCTCATATCTCAATCCTATGTCTGCCTCCCATGTAGCTGGAACTACAGGCTTATAACACCATACCTGGACCTTTCCTTGACATTAGTATTTTTTATCATGAAGCCATTGTATGTAGTTGGGGGAATATTGTTATGGGGAATGAATCAGGAGGGAAGGGAGGGTGATTCTGACTGTACACTTCCATTGACTATTGTCTATTGGGTTTCAGATATGTTCAGTGTCTTTGTCATTTTAAGTCATAGTGGATATCTGAACTAAACCAGAACTCGGATCTCAATGCTGGATCATTTAAACTATTTTCTACTGCTTCTCAATGTTGGAGTTACAAAGATTAATATTTACCATGATTACTTCTATTTCTAGATATCCTAATTTTTTTTATCTGTTGGAATTGTGCGCAAATCAGTGGAATGGTCAAAGAATGGGGAGGATTGGTAGTTTGAAATGATCATGGAGAATGGAACTGCTAGAAAATTGGGAGAAAATAATGAAGTGAGTTACAATCTGTCACAACTTCTATTTATTGTAAAAATTATAACAAAGATTTAAATATTGTTGTAAATGCCTAATGAGCCATTAAAAATAACTCAGGTACTAAGTAAAGGTGAGCCATGGGAGAGATGGCTGTAAGTAGATGATTTGCTAAATCTTAACAATTTTTTAATTTGACTTGTCTGAAGTTTATTAAATTTCTAAAGATGTTAATACTATTGGTCAATAAAATTCTAGCTCTGAATTTAGACAAAAATATAAATTTATGTGTTAGGAAACAAAAATGCAAATGAATACAGAATTAAAACTTTATAAACTATTTTTTCTCTTCAGAAATTAATTTACAATTTAAACTTTTACAGTACTTATATATATTTAAAAAAATTGAATTTATTGGATAAATGTCTTTCAATTGCTCTTGATCATTTTACCTTAGCATGAAGCTTTTATTTCATTTAATTTTCTATTCTTTCTCCAGAGTGCCTATTATATGGGGTTAAATCTATACTGCTGGTAGGCCTTCAGAGAAGAAAATATCAAGATATTATTATTACTTCATTATTATGTATTATTTCAT